ACTTGACAGCCCACTGACAGTGCTGTATTTATGCACCAATTTATCAGCTCCCACCTGCAATGCGCAGTCACCTCCCCCCTCCCCCCCAAATCATCAGTGAACGAAACTGCGGCAGCTACAACCACTGTACAACGAGTACGCGGTTATTACAGCTGAAAATGATGATGATGATGAACAGGGTGTGTTCGGTTTTCCTGGTGTTCGCTTAGAATTTGACTTCCTTTTGGAAGTTACTTTGCATACCATATCCACCTGAGAGAATTTGGAATGTCCAATCATTGCAGCATCAGCCTTGAGACTGATGAGATTTTGACATTCGGTGGCAAGCTTCTGAAGCGTCAACTCTGGATCCCGTTCAATTGGATTTAGCAGCCGGGTCCGAATAACTGCATTATGTGGCCATTGAAGACCAGCCATGAAGATGAGACACTTGAATTGATCCTAGGTCATAGAGCTGAGCAAAAAGCGCTCGCATTCTCTGTTGACCACACCGGCATGAGTGATGAATTATTCAGTATCCCTTTTGGTAATCTTGAGACACTGATAGCGAATACTGAACAATAATTTTGCTCACCGAATATTTGGGCCAAGATTTTGACAGCATCTGCGAAACCAAGGTCACGAGGGAGTTTGGGGAGTATGAAATTTGTGCACCGCTCGTGTTCAGCTGTCCCCAGTTTCCTCAGCAACAGTCGAACCTTCCATACATCATCAAACTGTGCAAAGTCGGTTTGAAACGTCCTCATAGTCCTTGAATCAACTTTCGAAAGTTCGCCCAGATTCAGCATCGAAATTGAATTCATTAATCGCGCTGACAGCAGCATCTGTGGAAGAAGACGGAGGCTCAACCGTTTTTGTCGCATTCACCGACATACTGCGCATCAGAGTCAACAAGCCTCATTTGAGCTTCTTCGAACTGCTTCTGTTGTTGCTGTAAAATTAAATGGGACTGTTTTGCAAAAACTGACATCGTGGGTTCGGGTTGTCGCCAGTTGTTTTTAACTTTTAAGTGAAGTCTCCAGACTTCAGAGTTATATACTGACGTTGTGTTAAACTGTTTACTTGCTATTCTTCTGACATCGCAGTGAAGCGTGGTTGGACAATAACATCCTCTAAGAGCGCCATCTCGGTGGCTTCAACGAATTTATCATGTGCTACTAGCGTTCATCTTTATGCTGCCCTACTGTACAAAAGCACGCGATATGAAGGTGTCAAGCTTTCGCTCTTGTTCAATTTGTGTTCAGTCGTCATCCTTGGATTGAATTTTCTCAGCCAACACCAAAGTGTCATCATACTATTCACGGGTAAACGCCCCTCATTCGCCATATGCACACTGAAAGTAGCCAAAGTCAATTTTCCCTCTTTGTTTGATAATTTAGCCCCTGGGTGTACTCCAATTTCTACAATATCTCATCGCTTCTCTCGTTTGGATACGGTATTTATCGAAACGGAGATTCAGAAGCTACTAGCTGACAACATTATTGAGCCGTCCAACTCTCCTTGGCGCGCTCAGGTTCTCGTTACTGCAAATGAAAGGCATAAGAAGCGCATGGTCATCGGTTACAGTCAAACCACAAACCCCTTTATTTACCTTGATGGGTATCCTCTGCCGAAGGTGGACGAACTTGTAGAGGTATCCTATTACAGTGTTTAGCACACTAGACCCATTGTTGACAAAGACAAGCCACATACTGCATTCGAGGCATGTGGTAAACTGTTTCAATTTCGCTGCATTCTGTTCGGAGTTACTAATGGTGTGGCCTGCTTTCAACACACCATAGACAACATCATACGCGAAGAGGGTCTGCTCGATACATTCGCATATGTTGACAATGTTACCGTGTGTGGTCGCCATGCCCAGGAACATGATCGAAATTAGAAGAAATTCCTAGAGGCATCAAAAGACCACGGTATTACATTTAACCAGGATACGAAATATCTCACCGTGTGATAAAACCGGATCCTGAACGTTTTGGAGCCCCACGGGAGTTGCCCAATTCATGTGACATCCGTTCACAACAAAGATTGGTCGGAATGGTGGCATACTACGGACACTGGATCCCGTGTTTCTCAGATAAGATTAATCAAATCGTCCGCAATCAGATCTTCCCGATTCCAGATAGCGTACAAGCGGCACTGAATAGGCTCAAACACGATTTGGAAAAGGCAGCCGTCGCCCACCATAGACTACGCTCGCTCAGCCGTCGTGGAGGCTGATGCTTCCGACATCGCCATTGCGGCCACTCTCAATCAAGACGGGCGGCCGGCGGTTTTCTTTTCACGCACTCTGTCACAAGTGAGCGTCATTCAGCAACCGAGAAAGAAGCGTACGCGATTGTTGAAGCACTGAGAAAACGGAGACACTACTCGATCGAAAATAACTTCACACTTGTCACTGATCAACTATCAGTCGCCTTCATGTACGACAAACAACACAGGTAAACTGAAAACGACAAAATCCAGAGATGGAGACTTGAACTGTCCTGTTTTCATTACGATGTTCATTACCGTCCAGGTAATCAAACTAAAGCCACTGACGCACTCTCGCGGACTTATAACATATCTGCGATGTCACACGTGGATCTCAACCACCTTCATAACACGGTATGTCACCCCGGCATCACGCGGATGCTTCATTTCGTTTTCTCAAAAAAATTGCCGTTGTCGATCGGGGATGTTAAGGTGATCACAAGTCAACGTAGTATTTCTTCAGAGTTAAGGTCTCGTTTCCTCAATCACCCTTTTGGCAATCTCACTAAAGCTGCACAACCATTTGAACGCGTCAGCATCGACTTTAAAGGCCCACTTCCATCGACCTCCCACAACAAATACCTTCTAACAATGATCGATGAGTACTTCCGTTTCCCATTCGCCTTCGCGTGTATGGATGTGTCCTCATCCAACGTGATCAAGTGTTTTAATCAGTTGTTCTCTTCGTTTGGAATGCCCTCGTACGTCCATTCTGATCGTGGTGGAGCTTTCATATCAGGTGAAGTACAAACGTTTCTTCACGACAAGGGTGTGGCAACCAGTCGAACTACCCCATACAATCCACGCGGTAACGGACAAGTTGAACGACTTACCGGTACTGTTCGGAAGTCTATCACTCTGGCGTTGAAGACCCAACAACGGGACATTGTTAAATGGGAATGCATGCTTTCAGATGCTTTGCTCTCTGTTCGCTCCTTATTATGCACATCTACTAACACAACACAACACGAAAAATTTCTTTACTTCCACCGAAAATCAACGTACGACACCTATCTTCCGACTGGGTTATCGACTCCAGGCTCCGTTCTGTCAAAAAGATATTACGTTCTTCCAAATCCGTTAGTGGAAGATGTGGAACTTGTTAACCGCAACTCGCAGCATGCCTGTGTTTGTTTCCCGAACGGAAAGGAAGAAACTGTTTCTCTTAGACATCTGGCACCCAAATCACAAAACATCTCAGATGTCTATTTAACTGAATCGATCGAAAGTGTAGCGACTCCGCCAGGCGAGACCGAATCACACTCGCTTGATCCTCCTGGAGGCGAAACGGCATCACCAGAACAACCCAGTGAAATTCCAGTGAATGTCCAACCGTACATCACAGACCAACAACTTGTTCGACCGTATAATCTTCGAAACCGCGAAGCTAATTTATATTCTCCTGACAATAACCCCTCCGGCGGGGAAGAATGTTATATACTTGGGTTGTGTTAAACTGTTTACTCGCTATTCGTCAAACTAATCGTGTTTCCTAATGTTTTAGCTGGTGTACTATAGCTCTTAGAAGATTAAAGCCAATCATTCGGCAATCCTCCTCTATTTCTGGCACAATTATTCGAGTGCGCAACACCCTCTGATTCGGCACTTTCATACACGAAAAATATCTGTCTCTTCCTCAGATTCGGCAATTGGCAGTCATATAACTGAAGTCAAGGAAAGTTTTGTGCACAATTATTCGACATGGAATGTACATGGAATGTACATGGCCTTAGACAAATGTATTGTAGTATCGACTTAGAAATATTCAAGATACAGTTAAAGAAAAAGTCGTTCTCTAAGACAGCCCTCTGAAGAAGCTAGATCGCCTTCAACTCACCAGGGTTCCAGTATCTTACCTGATGTTTTATTATTCCATCCGCTTTAGAGATTCGATGCATGTTTGCTAATCACTTGTCATCAGCCGGTTTCCAACACTTACTGCTTTCCGCGCAATCGCCATCATAATTGGCCATGGTTTTCATTCAGGTTCTGATCTATGGAATGTAAGTTCAAGTTTCAATCTCGATCTAGTGATTTAGGTTCATGCTGAAATTTTTATATTACGTCTGACTTCCAGCTCGAGCCCTCACCAGGGTTCCAGTATCTTACCTGATGTTTTATTATTCCATCCGCTTTAGAGATTCGATGCATGTTTGCTAATCACTTGTCATCAGCCGGTTTCCAACACTTACTGCTTTCCGCGCAATCGCCATCATAATTGGCCATGGTTTTCATTCAGGTTCTGATCTATGGAATGTAAGTTCAAGTTTCAATCTCGATCTAGTGATTTAGGTTCATGCTGAAATTTTTATATTACGTCTGACTTCCAGCTCGAGCCCTGTTGGACTTGGAATAATATGTCGGAACCGCCATCATGTAATTTTTATCGTTTCCACCAAACCAATGGATTTATTAGGCGTGGCTTCCCTACTGTCAACCCCTACGTCGGAATCCCTTGGTGGTGCCAGGGAAGAAATGGTAAATATTCGGTTTTATCCGAGTTTAAACTCTTGTCTACTCGCACTTAATGGCTTTCTGCTTTTGCTTACGCCGAACTAAAAACTAGGAAAAAATCACACAGTTGCTAGACTGCATGGGACGACCTTCCGTCATTCTCAATATGCGGCTGGAGCTATGTCGATAGGACATTATAATATCCTTAGAAGTTTTTTCATCACGATCATTACTAGACTCACTTGGTCAGGCGGATACAAATTCATTGTGTTGTACAATAATCTTATAACATCTTGCCACCTCGTCAAACGTTTGCAAAAGTCAGTACCAAACCGTTGTTGTATGTCAGCCGTTGTAGTGGAGAATTAGGATAACCATTGAAGATAAACCTGACTGACCATTGAGCTGTGTCATTTTTTCGTCCGTTTTCAGTACTGATCATTTAAGTGTTATGCTCAATTCGAGAACATACTTTGCTGCACAGTGCTCGTGATATGTCAGATTCTGATTCTCTGGCACCGGACTGGCTTCTATGTCCTATTCTTTTAGTATAACAGAGTTCAGTTAGCCATTGAAAAGCTGATTACCATGTGTATTCACTTATATTGAACAGGCCAGTTATTTTATACAAGCTATTTTTCTCCTACCTAGTTGACGTCCACAACGTTCTCAACCATATCCGCTCAAGAATTCGGTGAGTCTACCGTGCTTGGTGAACTATCTGCCCATTTCAGTCAAGCAGATACGCTATGCGGTGTCAGTCGGCGACTCAGAGGCTGTTCATAGACTACTTCGGACACCGAAACTTCCACCGGTTGAATTAAAGACCGACTCTAAGCTGATCTGTCTCGCAGCCAGCAAAGGTATTTAAATTTATATTTGCGTGTACTTTTCGTTCAACTCTGTGCTTGCCTCCATTTAGGTACATCAATTCTGGTCTAACTTTTTCTATGCAATCTTCAATTTCGAGCAAATAACTTGTCATGCCTCGATTGGATTCTTTACTTTGAGAATCTACCAGAAAACGTGTATGCATCTACCAATCGGCTCATAAGGAAGCATGTGTACGGTGCTTATCCGGTTTCAAATTCAATGTAAAAGATGCAAACGGTATGAACCATGTTTGATTTAATGAGCGACGACTCGTGGATGCTGCATCAAAATCCACGTGGTTTCTAGGATAGGATATGTGAGCGGTTATTCTGCACTAAATCCCGTTACCCAACAACCCTCAAGTTTCCATTTGAACACTGGCGGTGTTCCTAAACCCTCCACCTTACAGATATTCCTCGCTATCTGTTACCTACTTGTCTTTGCCCTACATCAGCTTTTCGGTTTTTTTGGTAAATTTATCGTTGGCTGAGTAATCCGTCCGCAATAACCATCTCTGGTTACGTGACTTCCTTTAACTCCTGAAAAGTTGCGGTTCATAGAAGACAAATTGATCAGTTAAGTGACTGACCAAACGTTGAACATGCTCACGGATTATCGCTTTTCCCGTAACCTTACCAAGCAGTTGACCGAATATTTTGCACTTCTTCATTGCCTTTCATTACGGACACTTGTGGTGCCCTCTAACCCCATCCTCATGAAGAACCTGAGATCCTAGTTGCACCAAACCCCAACTTCTGTTTGTCACCTGCCACACCTCTTCATACTGTATTTGTCCGCTCTAAAATAACCTCCAAAATACCGCCATCTAGACTGGTAGCGTACATCAGTTTATCCTTTCCCTCAGTACTCCTAAACCTCCTGTTTTTGATGGTATTTCCCCCATTACACTCCGGCAGTTTTATGATCGTTATGGCCATTGGCAGCGTTACTTTGAATTGGTGCATAACCGCCATGCAGCTATGAGGAAATCAAAGTAATAGTACTAAGAAAAGGAAAGAGCTTGAACATAGTGCCAAAAACCTGAGAGGAATGTTGACAAACTTCACCCCTTTCCAAAGAGTTATACGTAGAAGAGCCAGTCTGTTCACGTGGTCGAAGGTACTTTTAAAATGACGTGCGGGTTGAGGCCATTTGCATCTACTCATCATCCTTGAGCCATCCAGAGGAAGATAATGCGACTCAATGACGTCCCATCCCATATAACAGCCTTCAACTCCTTTTGCTCTATCGAGCTGATGCACCCCTCCTTATTTCATCGTTACTGCCCACAAACCCTCGCATGTTTCATCCACCTCTATTCGTCCAGTTGCCTTCTATCAAGTTGTGTTCAGTGGTGGATTGATCTCTTCGTTTCTTAACTCAAAGAGCTGTACTCCTAAGTGCCATACTGCCCACTACATCCCCGAATTTTCCACCTAGCTTTTTAAGGTTAGCGTTGACACCCTTCTCTGGTGGCCTCAGTCTCCGTCTTTTTGTTTGTTGGATTATCGTATGCTTTATTTACAAGGAATCCGTGGTAACAAGGTTACCCTCGGTCTGCAAGCCACACACTGCACAATGGAAATTTCACCAGAATGGTTGAAAGTTGAAGTTTGTGTCAGTTTGGTTTGAGAATGCCTTTTGAAGCATCCAGAACTCACGAGTACTTATCGGTATTAGTCCTTCAGTTTCCCCATTGATTTGCCTTAGTGAAACAAAGCGAATCGTTGGCAATATGTACAACCAGACCATCCTATGAAGTGATTTTTATTATTTAACCTGAAATAATCACATGATACCAATTAGTCCGAATTTGTCACTTTACAACATCCATATATTTCTTCTCCGTCCTGTAGGTTACGTGGACATTGTTGGACTGCTTCTCAGGCATGGTGCAGACGTAAATGCTCGCTCATCAGAAGATTCAACCCCTTTGATCTGTGCAGCTGACGGTGTATGTCTCCCAAACACACAAGAGTTTATCAATTCCCGTGTTTAAATAGTTGCTAGCTATGGGCTTTGCATTGCTATTTTTATAGCAAGTAGGGGGCCTCGTTCAATGCACACGGCCACTAAATCTCGTCTAGTGATATTTCCCATACCAAACCTTGCTTCCAAAAAAAACAGTATGACACATTTTTGTGTCATAACTTTCAAGTACTTTATAGTTACGTCTCGGCGATCATTCATTTTGTTAACCCTATCTTTCTTCTATTGCTTTCATCTTTAGCAGATGCCTGTTAACTATCTCGGTACAGTGTAGCCGTTCCGACACCCCACGCTTCCCGCAACAGCGCTTTTTACCTGCACCCTTAATTTTCTTGTATATCAATGACCGACTGCTTATCGCCGAATAGTCAAGTATTCAAAATACTAACCGGGAGGTCTCAGGTTCGAGACTTCCTGAACTTCCTTGAGATACGCATTACTGATTATTCCCAATAAGGATAATAGAACATTCAGCCGTAACACCCTTTCGGTGCCTAACTGCCATGCCACCAGAAGGAAGCACGAGGGTTGGGATACCGCCAGGTTGCCCAAGTCTAGAAGGGGAAGTCAAAGACAGGGGTCGGTTTCGAACCACGGACCTTCCGACCACTAAATTCGCGCTCTAACCACTTGAGCCATCTCGCCCCCAATAACGGTGAAACATCTTTATGGTGATTCTCGGCTTTTTCGAACAGATTGACTTCATTTGCAGGATGAAATTCCAATGGAAAATCCCCAAATATCACCTTACCAGCAAAATATAAGTCAGTTGTATTGGGTTGATTGGCAATAAGTTATATCTCGTAACTCTTGAAGTGTGCTCAATAGCGAACACGGAAGGTCAGAGTACGGTCGCCGTGACTGACTTGCCAGGGCTGCATCTGCTTTCATTACCTTACACTCAGTTGAAAAAGTGGTTGAGATTGTGGTTATGGTTATGTCTGTCAACTTGTTCATTTTTATACTGAGTTCTCGGAACTATGTATGTCTGAGTCAGCTGGTAGATTGAGAACAAGTCACCTCTCATTAGCTGTTCGTTTCGTAAGACTTTATCAAGTTTGGGTTCGCTAGTGTCTTTTATTGATGTTCTGGCCAATGATGCTGGTATATGCACATGGTCCAGTAAGGTTAAACGTGTCCTCTACCATTCTGATTTCTTAGTCGCCTTTTCGTCTTTCAGGGATATCTCAACGTATTGGCATTGCTTTTAAACGCTGGAGCCAGAATGGATTTACTAAACCACAACGGTGAAACTGCATTGGCTCGCGTAAGTTTTGAATATTTGACGGGACATTTTGATTAAGCGATCCGTCACGTCATGCCTCCTGGCGTTAGTTCGGTTGTCCATTACCAGCTATAGTACCAAATATGGAATATTTTCGCATTGGTTCCCAAAATTGTGACTGTGCAGTAGGCTTGCACATTCACATAACTGTCGTTTTAACAGTACTTCTCCTTGTGAGTCCACATCAAAGGGGGATGCACTGGACTCGAATTTCGCTCTTATTAGAGCTCATCAGCGGTATATTTCCTACGGCTGTATCGGGGGTTGAACTCTGGACATCTGACATGCGAGGCGAGCGTATTACCACTACTTCCCCACCAGCGCACGCTGGACGCATCGGAATTTCCACGTCTGAACAGGTGGACGTCTTCACACTTGGTCGATATGATTGGCATGTCTGACTCCTCGAACGACGACCCGGTAGCTGTGTGAGTTGTGACGATCAATCGACCAACCTGTCAGATAGCGTCAGAACACCCAAAATCTGATAGACAACCTTTTGATCAGTTGTGGGACAATTCAAACGGGAGTGATGTTGTGCATTGTGCAAATCCCACAACCACCTACAACTAAGCAATAAGTTGAACCTTTGAGCCTCAGGGTCATTGCCTTCATGACTACCTGCAGTGGTCACTTGAAGTATATCTCTTGAATGATTTTCCCAGCTCTCCGCAGTGTGGCTATTTACCAGACTGTGTGTTGTTTTGCGCTCTTGCTTCTATACCTTCCTCTGAGAGAAACTATATACCAAACTGCGTCTACGCTAGGAAACCAAGCAGTGGTGGGCGAAGTAGCTTACTCTGGTTTCTTATGGAAGTTACAAAACATTATTTTTCTTTTCCGTGACGCTGTTTTTAATCCCACATCAACTTTAGACAATCTTAATGTACGCGCACTGTATTTATGTGGCACCGAAGAGACAGACTATTCTTTCTGGATGTCGGACAAAGAAAGATACTTTCCAAAAACCAATATGGACCCGACAGTATACGCATTTCAACAGTTTCGTGGCACCTGAACTAAGGCGAAGCGTGGCACTCAATTCAATCTATCAGCTATAAGCCATGTACCATGGATACATGGTTTATAGCTGATACATTCTTTCCAGCTGCTATATTTTCCATCACTTGATAGTGAATTTCGAGTTTATTTGCTTTTCCTGACTGCTTTTATTCCGTCTCCCTTCATTCCAGGCTACTAGAAAAGGTTGGGCACATTGTGCACGACTGTTACTAACGTACGGTGCTAATCCACAGCCCATGGCCACTGATGGTCATCCGTTGGTAGTGTCTCCCCTGCACTTGGCGCGCCAGATGCATCAGACAGCCATTGAGAAGGACATACTAACCAGATCTGTTGCGTAAGTTGCCTTTGTCCGTTAATTTTCCGATCTTATTTCTTTCCTCAAAATGTTGCACAAACCCTTCTTCCCGGTTCATGTCATTTAACGTGTCCAAACGTTTACCATAGATCGTTGAATGCCTCAACTTTCTTTGAGCATTCACATTAGTATCTTAGTGGACCGGTCGGTCTAATGAACGATCTCATTGTTGTTCAGAATCTTTATGCGCCTTGTTGAGTTAAAGGGTCCGTACTTATCTTTGAGTCGCGTCACATTTAGCTTATGAATCATAGTGAACAGGATGCTAGTTTCCGACCAACAGTTCATCTTTGTCACTTTTAGATAGCTGTTGTCCAGACTTGGGTGATTTCGCAATATCTTAGCTGTCGTGTACCATAGGGAACGTATGACATTACAAGGCAACTTTGCATCTGCGCTATCAGTTAACCAAGCACACCAAACTTATTCGACTGATTGTACCTTCCAAAAAATAGTCCACCGTAGTTGTTGTGAGATTTGTATACGATGCTTAAGTCTGACTGAGAAATGCACTGAGGGATCCCGGTACCGTTCATACAATATTCTATTTTCCTCTCCTCTACCACTTTTGTTTAGCATGGAGAACCGAATGCTGGAAATTGTGAAGGCCACCATCCCAAAACATATTTCTCTGCTTGAGCCAGGACATTTGGTGGACACAAAGACGTCGAGCTTTTTCCCAATTCAACTCGTATCTGAAGAACAATTGTCCCGATTTGTACTCTACTTCAAAACACCCCCAGGCTATGAGATGGTTGATGTGAACAATAGTCTCGGAGTTAAGGGATCCTCCTCGTCGGACGAATTGATTCTTGTGTATGTCGTCCGTGTACAGCTACTGGTTAGTGGATTCAGCGTTGAGTGAATGGCCTTCCGTTGGCTGTATTTTCTGTGCACAACAACAGGCATACTAATCACTTTTCGTATATTATCATATTATTATGTATTAT